CTCCTGCATCCAGGTTCCTGCCCTGAGTTCCTACCTTGGGCTCCCTGATGAACTACGACCTGGGAGATGTAAGCTGAATAAACCCTTTCCTCCCCAAGTTGGTAGTGGTCAGAGTGTTTTGTCACAGCAATGAAGAAACAAACTAGGACAATCTGTATCTACCTATACTACCCCAAAATTAATAGAAAAAGTAAATCTAGTTTTTTCAAGTGTATTTTTATTTTCCAACATTGTCTGTAACAGTCTGGTTTTTAAAAATTGAAGGTAATTCTTTAAAAATAGAACAATCCATACTATGTATTTTTGTAGACATTAAAAAGAATGAGCTAAACGAATTTGCAAATTCTACATTAATAAACCAATCAAGGGGTACACAGTATCAGTGGTATGATTAATTACAAAAAAGCACTGTACATGTCTTTGGATGGGGAAAGGTCTTGTGGCCGCAAACACAGACAACGGTCACTATAGGAAAATGTGGAGGCATATGGTAGCAGGTAAGTTTTGCTTTCTACTTCATACACTATAAAACATATAATCTAAAACCAAGACTACTCCCTATAACCCCAGCCTCTTGTCTATGTGTGATCACCTCCCCAGTCAATCTCTTCACCCAACCTTGATCCCTCGCTCATTTGTTTAAGCCATTCTTAAGAAAATGTAGAACAGAACTCTTTCCTTGTTACCTGATTGTAATAATCTGTCCAAAGTTCAGGTCAAAGTTGTTGACTTGAGCGATGAAAATGGCAGCCAAGGCCTCGTAGAGGGCAGTGCCATCCATGTTAATGGTGGCCCCCACAGGAAGGACAAATCTAGTGATGCGTTTGTCCACACCATTGTTCTCTTCCAGGCACTTGAAAGTGATGGGTAAGGTGGCAGAACTGAAAACAGCAAAACAGGACATGTCAGCTAAGTGTCCTTTTGGTAGTTTGGACTGGGTTTGTCTTTGGTCTTTTGCACAGATAGTTCCTTCCTCTCCCATGTCCTAAGTCAGCACTTGTCTACATAGAGGGTTAGGAACATTGTGGTGCCCTCACAGGGTCACTTGGCTATCCTCCAGTACTTGGGTTCCTCTCAGGCATCACTTCTTATACCACAGCTGCTGTACCAAGCACACTCATGTCTCCCTCAGGAAGATGTCAATGGAAGATAGGGATGCTGGGGGACAAATTCTTACTTCCCTTTTACCCCCAAGAAATGTATGACAGACAGCTATTCCTTGAATCCCAAGTTGGGTATGATTATTTTTAAATTAATTAATTAATTAATTAATTAGTCTCTTTGAGACAGGGTCTCCCTGTAGCTCCAGCTGTCCTGGAACTCACTATGTAGACCAGGCTGGCCTTGAACTCACAGAGGTCCGCCTGCCTCTGCCTCCCTAGTGCTGGGATTAAAGGCATGCGCCACCATGCCAGCTATTTATTTATTTTTTTAATTTTATGTGTATGTGTGTATTGCCTGCATGTAGGTTAAGTGCACCCATGTCATGCAATGCCCGTGGAGGTCAGAGGAGGCTGTCGGATACCCTGGGACTGGAGTTACGGACGGTTGTTAGCTACTATGTGGGTGCTGGGATTCAAACCCGGGTCTTCTGCAAGAACAACCAGTGTTCTTAACTGCTGAGCCATCTCTCCAGCCCTGGAATTTATTATTTGTATTTTATGTGTATGAGTGTAATAATGCCTGCATGTAGGTAGGTGCACTTATGTCATGCAGTGCCCGCAGGGGGTCAGAAGTGGGTGTCAGATCCCCTGGAACTGGGGTTACAGATGGTTGTTAGCCACCACATGGGTGCTAGGAATTGAACTCTGGTCCTCTGCAAGAGCAGTCAGAGCTCTTAACCTCTCAGCCATCTCTCCAGCACCATATTCTTGGAATTTAAAGTCCAGTACAACATACTTCTACTTACCTTCAACCTGAGAGGCTTGGGTTCAAGGTAAAGTTTTAAACACATTTTCTTAGAGGAGTAAAACACATGTGCACATACCTTGAGGAGGTCCCCAGCGCTGTGACGAGTGCTTGCAGCAACCCTCCAATGAAAACCCAGGGGTTCTTCCGGGTTACCAGGAAGTAGAGGAGTGGCAGGACGATGACAGCATGAATGAGGAGGCCAACAATCACCGTCACTGTGTACATGGCAAGCTGCCCCCCAATCACACCCATGTCTTCCATCTCAACAATTTTCCCTGCGATTAGGAAGAGGATGCCCAGAGGTGCATACCTATGGTGAAGCAACGCATGCATAATTAGAACTTTGATTTCCAAAAAGTTATTGCATATAAATAAGCCGAGGAAAAGAGGGAGAGGGAGAGGAAGGGAGGGAGAGAGGGGGGAGAGAGAGAGTGGAGGAGGGATTTTCAAACTTTTCTGATCAGGATATTACTGAGACTTATAGAAACTATACAATTATTTATTTTCCATTTTAAATATAAAGTTCCTTAGATATTTCTAAATCAGGCCTTCCTTCCACTCAGAATTGCTCTGGGACACATTGCCTCCCTTTCCGAGTGCCTGGCGGCCTTACACATAAAGAAGGGGCTGAAGTTCTGTCTCCACCTCTATTTCCTGGATGGGTCTCCTTTCATCACTTTTGGGTCCCTTTTCTGATCTTCAGAGGCTCCTCTGAAGGAGGAGCATTCCATACCACAGCCTGTTTCCCAAGCTGAAGCAAGGGGCTGAAGCCCAGGTGTCAGAACTGCAGTCAGCTTGCTTACTCTAGGGTCACCTGTATTGATTTCTTCCTTAGCTTCATTTCACTTAAAATATTACTTGGTATTTTTCTTCAAGCCACCTTTATACTTAAGTAAATTTCCTTTCAGAGGAAGTTTTATGTTACTATGCAAACCAAATACTAGTACCCCTTACCATAAATAGGAGACCATAAAATAAATCCAGACCTACTAAAATTAATAACGTGCATGGATGTACTCCCACAGTCAGGTTATAATGCTCTAAGTAAGTAATTATCCACATGCTGTTACATTTGTGAGCCTTCCCTTGCAGTTTCTGCAAGAACGAGCAACTGACCGCACAATGACTCGTACTTGCTGAAATAACCCTGCTTGCCCAAAGGCCTTGCTGTCCGACCTTCAGCTCTCTGTGTGTGATGTATGTGCTAAGCTACAACCAAGCTTTGCCAAAGACAGAGAAGGCAATCCCAGACCCTTCATCTGCTGGGAACTGCAGAAGACTTACTGCAAGTAGAAAAGCACAATGCTTCTTTCAAAAGTCCCTTAAAAGTGCAGGCCAGGAAATCATAGAAGTACCTGTTCTCGGAAATGTAATAATTCAATGTTGAATGTGTAGGCGAACGTACAGCTAGAAAAGCCACATGTGAAGTTCATTCAGTGGTCTTGAATGGGTTTCTTTCATAAAGGAGGTGAAAGGTGGAAGCATTTTAATAATATGGAGATAAATGTCCACTTTCAGTCTTGCCAGGATTTCAAAGGCCTTCCAATTGGAGGCTCCTGTGGGGACCACATTCTGGCCCGTCTTTGTGCCCAAGTTCATATTCATCTTGTGCAAACTCCTAAAAAGTGGATTTCTCTGAGCTTTGGCGGCATTAGAGACAAAGGACATTTTTAATCATGTTTGTGAGTGAATGCTTTTCTCAGCACTCGATGTCTTCCTACCCGAGGTGCCAAGGAGGAGTCTGGATATTAAAAATAAAGAGTAAAATAAAAGCAACTCTCACATGAGGCCTAAACCAAGCAAAGGGTTCTCTCCGTGCTGGGGAGAGTTTATTTTCTGAGGTCAGCATTCCGCCTTTGGATTTAAGTCCTTTCCTTTGTCGCCTGCTCTGAACTTTATTAAAGGAAGCTCTGTTATAAGTTCTTATTTAGCAGACATAATACTTCCCATGAGTCCTCCTGTGCATTGCAAGAGATCTGTCCTATACACTTCTTTCTTAAGACTCAAACAGAGAAGGGAGAGCACAATATTTTCAATGATCTGGGGCCTGTGTGTTTGCTTTTTCCTCTACTGGGAATGCTTTCCTCCCAGTAGTCTGTGGGTCTGGATATTCCTAGTTATTCAAGTCTTAGCAAAAATGTCACCTCAGAAGCCTTTCTGTATCACCTAAGGCAAATTGCATGCCTTTGCTCCTGTTTTCCTTTCTTCATGGCACTTTTGACTCAAGAATATGATAGATTTATTTGCTTGTTAATTGCCCGCCTCCCTTAAAATTATGTAAGATTCAGGGTTTCCTAGTGCTCGCTTCATTACTTTGTCCTCAGTGCTTAGAGCTCTATCCTTATCTGGTAGGAGAAACTCAGTAACTATGTGAATGAATAAGTAAATGTAAAGTGAATGGGTGGGGTAAAGAGTTGTACCTTTTCAAACTGCAACCCTAGAAACTGACTGATTTCCTTATGGTTTCCAGAGTAAGATCATTGCAACTGTCCATTCAGCCTGGCAGTATCTTTCTCAGTACAGAACACATATTGACCACAATAAGCGTCTTGTAATCATTATATAGCATATGGCGATACATACCACATTATCACGGCTACTAATCTCATGATGGCTTCATTAAGGGAATCAAAGAAGTCTCTCAGTGCTTGGCCCTGTTCCTTCATGTTTCCAATCACAAAACCGAAGCACATGGAGAAGACAACTAGGCCCAGGGCATTGACCCCATTCACAGATCCTGGAACAGGTATCATCTCCTCCCTGATCCGTGTCAGAGTCTCCATGGCCTCTGACACATTGCTTATCACAGCACCCAGGAGTGTTTCGTTGGACTGGATGGACACTTTAAAGCTTCTCTTCTCATAATTGGTTTTGAACTTAAAAAGAAAAAGCACACCAGGAATTAAGGGGTTTTATTTTATTTTTTTATTTATATTTTCCTGCTGTCCAAATTTTCTATGATATGTTATTTTGTACTCAAAAGATAGTGTTACAGATCATCATCTATCTATCTATCATCTATCTATCTATCTATCTATCTATCTATCTATCTATCTATCATCTAGCCATCTATCATCTATCTAATTTATCCATCTATTATCTATCTATCTATCTATCTATCTACCTACCTACCTATCTATCATCTTCTATCTAATCTGTGGCAAATCTCTATTCGTCAACACAGACATACACACTCAAATACATATAAATTTAAACACACACATATTTAAATCATAACACATACGTTCAAATACATAGTAAATCAGAATAAGAAAGTTATATGGTTAAAGATGTTAGACTAAATACGCATGTGCTTTTTCATTCTTCTGCAACTTTAACAAAATGATAATGAGATTTTTGAAGAGACAGACCCAAATATTCATAAGTCCTATCACTTCCTGTGGAGATCATGCCGTGGGATCATTGGCAAACTACCTAATATCTATTAGTTCCTATTCCATAGCTGTGAAGCACGGGTAACTGCTGATTTTACTTCACAGTGTTGTTACAATGACCAAATTAAGCATCATATAGGAGAACATTTTGCAAAATGTAAAGTATTGCATTAACATTGGCTGATGGTGCTCAATGACAATGTCCTACAGGATTACCCTGTTGGAAGTTTCAGAGGATAATGAGAATAAAGAATACCCAAACAACCAGTCTGCAAGTCATTCCTGATGTTATAAATTCCTATTCTTAAAAGCTGCCTGCTTATTAATTGATGATGATAACCCACTTTTTCCAAGTCCACACTGTCATTTCTCTTCTAACTCAAGCTATGTTCTTCCCTGCATAGTTTCTACATAGATGCCCCAGTCAGGAGGGCCTGAGAGCATGGCTGTGGCCACAAGAAACCATTAAGCCATCTCTCTATAATTTTTAAGAAGAGTGGCATTTCTGTCCTGGCCTTTATAGTGTTGGTAGAAAAGCATCAGGGAGAGTGATAGTGTTTGAATGTGGCCTGGGTCTAGAATCTATGGAAGAAAGCATGGCCACATATCAAGTGTTTGACCATGTTTTTGCCAAGAATAAACAGGAGACTTTCAGGTCTTTTGGAAAACCACTATTTCTAACCAAGGACATGGTCAGCTGCCATTACTGTGGTCATATCCCTAAATAATCTGTGGATTGTTGACAATTTTAAAACACAGAACGTTCTGCTAAAGTCAACTCTCAAATCTCATGGGCATTTAAATATTCTGTATTGTTTGGGGTTCATTTTTCAATTTTGATCATTCTTTCTTAATCTTCCTATTCTTTCCTTTTAGACGCAGTTTATAGCCCATTCAGAAACTGCAACCTTATTTGTATTCTGGTCTAAGCCCAGTAGATCTTCGGGTGATATGTTTGCTTCCCCCTCAAAATCCTGTGAATGCAACCCCAAACTAAACATAAATCTGCAAGATTCAGCACTTTTCTCATTTGAAAGAGCTGGAAATCAGCATTTTTGATATCACTCACTGCCAACTCATGGACAGATAGCCTTGCAGTACTGGGGTTGGCTGGGTTGGATTGAAAAGGATTTATTATGTATTATTATTGTAGTTTTTGAATAAAGAAAGATTTTTGGCTGCTTGGGCTTTTTCTTTTGTGGTTCTTTGGACTGAACTCAGGGTCTTGTTTGTACTGTATAAGAACTCCACAACTCTACACACACACACACACACACACAATTAAATTTTTTATTGCATTTATTTTGGGGAGTAAGTGCCATGGCATGAATGTAGAAATCAAAAGGCAATTTGGGGGAATCAGTTCTTTCCTTCCAACATATGAGTCCCACTGATTGAACTCAGGTGGTCAGGCTTGGCAGCAAGTGTCTTCTGTGAGCCCATCTTGCCAGCCCTTTCCTTTATGTTTTGAGACAATTTCTCACTAAATTACCTAGAGTAGGCTTAAACTCACACTGACTCAGGCTGGTCTTAAACTTGTGATCTTCCTGCCTTAGCCTCCCAAGAAGCTGGGATTACAGGCCTGTACCACCAGGTTCAGTTTTATTTAAGGACAGGCTTCTGTTTGGATCTTGCAATGTGCTTGTTTATTGCCTTTTAAAAATAGTCTTCATATATATATTTTAAAAGGAACAAAACAGATGGGGTCCTATATGTGTAAAACCCAGCTCTCTGTGAGGTCAGACTTTTGTTTTATTTTACAGATTTCAAGCAGAAAGGGTAGGTGAATTGACATCAAATGGAGGCGTGTTTGGGGAATATTTAATCCACAGTGTTTGTTTCCCTTTTCATATCTTGAGCAACAAAGCATTCATAGTCAAATGAGGTTAGAACGAACATTATCCCCTAATAGAAGATATTTGTATCCACCATGTAGAGAGCCAAGAGACGCTTGGATAAGAAGCAGAAAGGAGCTGGACCTCATCATGACCTCCTGGTTAGGGTCTCTTCACTGAGTGATGCTTTCTAGGAAACAGCATAAAATGGTAGGAAGAGGTAGACTTCGCAGTTAACATGATGGATCTGAATTCTGGGTCTACCATTTACTACCTGTGAGAACTTGTGTCAGTTACATAATTCCATGTTTTCATAGATGAGTGGCCTCATCAGTGAAATGCAGACAGGGATACTCATCATGTTTATGTGAGGACTAAATATAACATTTGTGCTTGGCACACAGCAGGCATACCATAAATGATGATGCCATTCCTTTCTGATATGGTTCTTTAGAATCCCTATGGCCCTTTAGAAACTTTTAATAAATATGCCAATGATTTTTAAATCAAGCCCAGCAACTAGAATAATCTTTTTTTAAAGCAAGTTGTTAATATATTTTATTTATATTGGAGTTTTCTTGCTTTGATGGGCTTTTGCATGTGAGCCACAGTGAGGGGAAAAAAGGGAGGGTCTCTCAGTTAGCCCTCTTAACAATAACATAGACTCATTGTGGTATTTGCATGCAAGACACACTGTGCCTGGAACTAGGCAACCTTTAATACAAGGAACGAACCACGGCCACCAAAGTTTCCCAGAAAATCCTGGTGCTTTCCATCGCGTTGGCAGAGAAATGAGAAAGGCAGGGTCCTACTGGTTTGATATGCCAAAGAGGATTTTTAAAGGTGAATTGGTCCCTGTAAAGTGTTTACCTGTTTAAAGCAGGCTTCCACCAGATTTGGAGGGAACATGTTCCTGCAAAGAAAATAGTGGTCACTTGCAAAATTTTCCAAATAGTAGCTTTGTTCCTTAAATACTATTCACAGAGAATAAGGTAAAGATTGCATTGAGTCAAGCAGTAAAAGGAAAAACAGAGATTTAGTGACTTGCAGTGGAACATATGGTTGTTCCTAGGTATGGACCATGCAATTAGTATTTTTCAGGGAAAGCCCAAACTCAACTCAAGCATGCTCTTCTCATCCCATGGAGCTTTTCATCCAGTCATTATATTATAAAACCCTGGGCTTAGGGAGAGTCAGTGAAAACAGATGCTTTTTCTCATCAGCAATGTGGCTGATTCTGTATTATTCAAAAATGGTTACTTTGTTATTGTGCCATGTGTTTAGGGATCAAAGGTCTGAATCAAAAGCTGGTTGGTTCTCTGTGGAATTTTGTTCTCTGAAGACTTCTGTGGGGAGGGGGGAATAGAATATTGGCACAATTTGCTAGAGATTCTGACTCTGTGGCAGTCAGTGGAGAGCTTGCTCACAATAAATATTTGAACTTGAGGCATTTGTGGAAAAGTTTGTCACTTCCTCAGAGACTGTGTCAGGACTGTGTTTAAATTCATTGTGGAAGAGGAGAAACACTCAGACTGGGGAGTGTGACACTGGCCAAGTCATGGACCCCACTTACGTCTCAGTTGACTCATCTAGTAAAGACAAGAGTAGATTAAATCAACATTAGGGTTCTAAAACAGAAGATGAGAGAAGGAGACATGACATAGGCATGCTATCCTGAATTTGAGACTCCAGAAATTTTATGATATTAAACTCCTAGTTCAAGGTTATAATCTTCTGTCTCTTCCTACTATCTGGACCAGCCTATTTTCTTCCACTTCTCATCAGTACTCTTTGGACATTTTTCTATGATGCAAGTATACATGCAAAGAGATTTTAAGATAATTCTCAAGCCAAGTGCCTGGATGGGGGAGGATATTCACACACTTTTTTACTGGGGCAAAGAAGAACAGAAGTTCACCATGCTTTGATGGACCAACTAGGCTGGGGATGACAAGATCCCAACTCTTTAAAGGCAAAACTTAAACAGAAGGAAAATATAATATTCCTAATATTCCTAATCTAAACTAGCCAAGGGTAAGGTTCATGGAAACATGGTGAAAGCTTTAATTAATAGCATGAACTTAATAAAAGCATAGTTATCAAGTGCTAACTTGGCAGGAAATATTTTAGGGCAGCTGTTATCTTTAGATCATTGTGATTGAATCTCTAAAAAAGGCTTTCAAGAAAAGGCCCCCATTGGGTTAGATGGGACTTACAGATGGATGATGCAGAGTCATCCCTGGTGGGAATGGTGCTGCTAAGGAGGCCTTCTGTTTCCCACATCTCTCTTGAATCGAATTGCCACAGACCCACTCCTTGCAATGGCGTATGGAATCAGTCCCTTGGAGGAGCTTCTTTCAGATGATCAGTGGAGAGCCCTGAGAGTGGGTATCTAAGATAGGCAACCTAGGTCCTTCTCAGGTAAATTGTAAAGAAGGGAGAAAAAGGCTAAGTTTTGAGAGGGCAGGCTAGGGCCACATGGTAGGAGACCCAAAGCAGACAGGGCTTGTGATAGGCTGTGTTCCATTTGCTCTTTGAGATCCATCCTGCATTCTGCTCTGAGCCCTAGAAAGTGACCCCTAGGGGACATAGCATGTGGATTCTTGCCTTCTGACTCCCTTTGGTTTTGCCTAGTAGAAGTCACTGACAGCTTACAAGGTAGTGGGAGAAAAAAGTCCACGTGCATAGTCCCACTAGGCTTCTCATTCGGTTTGGTAGAAGCTCCCTTCCTCTCCCTTAACAGCTAGGGGTGATGACAAAATAGCTTCCTACTGATGTTAGTTTTCTGGTGCCTCATTACCCCTTGAAGCTTATCATAATCATGGTTAGAGGCAGGATCTTGTTATGCAGCCTAGTTGAGGCTAGCCTCAAACTCATGGTTCTCCTCCTTAGTCATCCAGTGCTGAGATTACAGGTTGTACCACCACACCCAGTTTCAATGTTCCTTCTGAGTATGTAGTATGCTTCTTGAAAGGATCTGGCTGATATAAGGACAGGTATAGAGAGAGACAGAAAGAAGGACTAAGGATCAAACTTTGGCTTACTTCTATGATCATGAACTCTTCTTTAGATGTTAGGTAAGACTCCTTTGTAATCACTGTCTAGTTTGCCTATAAAACACTGCTGAAGAGCAGCCTTCAGTATTTTATTATTGATATGCCAAATCCTTTCTTCACAAATAGAATAAAAGGAAAAGCTTGGGTCAGGAATGGTCAGATGATCACCAAAGTCCCTGCTGAACCACTCTGCTGTGGGTAAAGGATGAAGATACAAGACAACTAACTAGTTTTAAATTTGGAGTTGAATGGATAGGCCCTACTTTGCTGAAAACTAGCCTTACAGAGCAAGAGTTGAGAAAAACCATTAAGAATTACCAGTTATTCTAGGGGGGAGCACACAGTAGAGAGAACTCCATGATGAGGTTTTTGAATACTAAAGCCCTCAAGATTTATTGCTTTATGTTCTTTACACTTTTTTTTACATGAGACCAGAAGACAGATCCCTAGTATCAATTTCTGTTAGAAGGAAGTAAAGATGTGACTTTTACTTCAATCTTGGCAAGGCTAGTCCAGTCAGATACCTCTTTCAGAATCTGATTAGCTTCCCAAAATAAGAGGGGTTGGATGGTGAGAATATACCCCAGGACAGGCTTGCAGGGACATACCTGATTAAATCCAGGAAGGCATCTGCAGCAGTCACTTGTACAATTTTGCCTTCTCTGTACATGTTTTCTTTTGTGCCCTTCCCGGGATGGATGATGATGACAATGATTATGCCAATCACCACAGCAATGATGGTGGTAGTCATGTAATAGACTACAGCTCGCATCCCCATCTTCCCTGATGCCTTACTATCTAGGGCCGCCATTCCTGGTGAATGCAAACAGAAGATTTTTCAGGAAGTCAGTTCAAGGAATTCTCCAGTGGCAGACAATGGGAATAACATTTCCTTCTACATTTGCCTACCCTCACCCCACCCAGAGATACGTGTTATGAGAATATGTCAGTGATCACCCATGTTCTACCCCAGGACTTGATTTCATGTGGCCAAATAACATCAGCTCTCTAAAAGCTTGAGGGGCAATTAATTTCTTTCCTCTGATGCTATTAGTCTGGGAATTTACAAGTGGGCAGAATGTGTGTGTGTGTGTGTGTGTGTGTGTGTGTGTGTGTGTGTGTAAAGAAATACTTGAAAAGATTTCCAGCAGGATAACCTAAGTTTACCAAAGTTCAAGCATTATGGTGATTCACACAGATAGGTTGCCACTGAATTCTTTCAGAAGAATTATTACTTTATATTTGTAGAATCTGGCATCTTTTATGTGACATTTGTTTTTATCACAAGCACTTGCTGATCCATCTTCAGTTTAATTTCAGGTAAACACTGGGTTCTAAAGCCAAAATCCTCACATCGCTTCTCTGTCATTTTATTTCATCTCATTAAATCAAGCTTTAAAAAACATTGTGGTGGAGCTTTTTCTGCTACCACGTCCTTCTTCCTGTCCTACAGATCTAGGACACCTCCTGACCTGTTAAAAATACCTCTTACTCTCATTTTCAAGACATACTCAAAGTCTTCCTAAAGCAAAGGCAAAGTGTTAAAGTGAAAAGGAGCCATGACTTTTAAGGTCTCCCAATGGTGCAAAGTAGTGGGACATATCTCAGAGCTTGTTGGACCGGGAAACAATGGGAAACACACAGAAAACCCTCAAAAGACTAACTTTTGAGAGTTTTCTTGTTTCAACAATTGTTTCTTCACTTTTCTTCTTTATCCTCCCCAATCTTGCTATAATACTAAAAGCTAAAATAGTACAATTCAAGTATAGTTAATCAGACTATTTTAATTGTATTTTCATAAATGTATTAAAAGGTAATATTATATTTTAGTGATAGATATCAGATAGTATCCACATTTATACAAACATATTTATAGTAAGTATTGGAAAAAAAAAAGTGCCTATGATTGTTAAGTAACTGGTTAGATTTGCCTAAAGATGTTGGTCCAAAGGTAACTAAGAGTGGGATTGAAGTTCTAAATTTCAATGTAGAATTTCAACTGTATTTGAATTGTGTAATTTATAATTTTCATAAGCTTTGATGAAAATTAATATCAAATACTCTCTTCTTCCTTTTTATGTATATTTGTAGAATCTTTGACATCTTTTATGTGACATTTGTTTTTGTCACAAGCACTTGCTGATCTATCTTCAGTTTTATTTCAGGTAAACACTGGGTTCTAAAGCCAAAATTCTCACATCGGTGACTCACTATATAGCACTGGCTGGCCTGGAACTCACTATGTAGACCAGACTGGCTTTGAACTCACAGAGATCCATCTGTCTCTGCTTCCTGAGTGCTGGGATTAAAATCATGCACACCACACCCAGTTTATTTTCTTATTTTTAACAATAGTTTATATGGAGATTAAGGTTTAGTGAATATCAAGTAGAACAGAATGGGAACTCAAACTCAGATCTTATGTAACTAAGGTTGATAAAGTTATTGCCCCTGAGACAACCAACAGCAACTCCCATAAATGAGGAGGCCAGCCTTGGCGTTAGTGCCTGAGCTTGACCTTTGCTTGCTCACTGTCTTAGAACCTAGGGTTAAGCATTCACTGACTGAGATAGCACCACTCAGTGCTTCAACTGCATTGTAAATGGACTCATCTGTTCTCAATGGAAGAGTCATCCTTTGTTTTCATTTACTTATCCAGAAGAATGGAGACATCAAAGCCTGTGATTCTTCTGGCTCTTTCCCTGTCTATTTGGTGAGTGGTAATAGTGTTTTGCTGATATCTCTCCTAGGAGGTACCAGGTGGCAGTATTTTCTTCCTCTGAGAGGCTCTTTTCCTTTTGCCTCCTATCGGGTGGTGCTGTTCCATTCTCAGATGTCTTCTATGGTGCTTCTCCCCACTATTGCCAACCTACAGCTATTCAGAGAGAACACTGGTGGTCAAGACAGCACTGGGTCCAAGTGCAGACAAAGAGGAGGCTTCCATATCTCACCTCCACCCTGTCAGAGGCATGGGAAGCTACCCTAGCACCCACAGCTACGTGGACAGCAGCTTTAGGAAAGAATCTTGTCCATACTTTCTAATTTTGAAATAGCTGAAGACAATCATCAGAAGATATTTTCTTAGCAATGAACACAAAAGGAGAGTCAGTAATCAAAGGAGAGGTCTCACCCACCTCTGCATATTGGCCTTTTCTTTTTGAAAGAAAATAAACGGTTATTGTTTTAGCCAAAGAAGTTACTTTCACTAACCAATCCTCCATGCAGTTCCTTCTCCTAAAGGGAGTCTGATTCCACACAGGACCACTTGTTCACTTCTGCTCCTGGAATACCCAGCTTATAAAACTAAAGAGAACACCAGGAACAAGGCCATGTATTGTCAGGGCAACAGCTTGACAGATGGATATAATTTGTTTCACATACAATGGCCTTCATACTGGTGGGACCAGGAAAATGACAGGATGATTCTGGAAGACAAAGCCCCAAATGAGCAGGGCGTTGTTCTTTCTCTCCCATACCTGAACTCAGTAATCATCCTCTCCCTTCACATCATGAAATCTGGGAGACTAAGTTCTTCAGCAGAGTCAATACACATGAAGAGTGCCTGGGGCAAGGTTAAAGTACTAAATCACTTTGTAAAAAAGGGAACTTTGGCAGGAATGCCCCAAATATTTAGAAAGGGAAAGTTTGCATAGAATCTTGTCATTCATTTTAAAATATAGAGGAGAAAAGGGCATGGGGGCAGTGGGGAGATGGGAAGTCACTTGAGTATTGAGGGTACTGTGGGAGTGTGTTACAAGAGCCTGTGTTCATTTAAGACTGTATTTGGAAAAACACATTACAGAGCAAGTAGTAACGATAATGATCTCATTGGTCTTTTTCTCCCCATTTGACACTAACATCTTCATCTGAAAAAAAGAATCTGCCATCAGAATTCTGCAATCCAAAGAATCCTATGCTACAGTCTTGCCAAAGAACCACAATAACATGCCTGCATGCTTTGTAGACTTTGAATTAACTTCTGTGCTAGTCCACAGGTTTGTTCATAAAGTCCTACTTTAATTCCATAACAGTATAATGCAGATAGCATGGATACTGTCTTATAGATAAAGAAACATGAGCCCAGAGAAGTGAAGCAAGCTGCCCAGTGTTTCCCAGCTAATGAGCAGCAGTGGCAGGATCCAAACCATAGTTTTCAAAGAACAGCTTGGCTTCTTTCCAGGAGTTGCCTACACTGCACTTCCTTGTTATTCCTAATGGCTTTGTCTGGCCTTCACGCATTTAGCTGAGATGAGCTACTTGGTTTGAGTGGAATTCTGTTATAGGGATATAATTGTGGAAAGCCTCTGTTCAATTTCTCTACATTCCCTACACCAACCTGAGGGCCAAGGAGTAGTCACTGGGGGAAATAGCTAGAGGGCTGATGAAGTCTGTCAGAGTAGACTCTTCACTCCTCAAAAAGTAACCCAAGGCATTCAGGCATGTTCTAATAGATAGTAGAGGACCGTGGACTCTTGCCGGCTATGAGCACTTGAGACTTACACCCATCAATAAGCAATCAACAAGCACTAACCATTTCCGAAAACCTACCATATATTGACCATAGAGTTAAGAACTGGAAAGCAATGGAATAGGGTGCTTTCTACAATATAAGGTTAAAACTTTGCATCAAATACCTAGGTATTTTAGGCAGCAGTCTCTTAGAAGAGAGGATAGGAAAGTTTCTTTTTTTTTTTAATTTTTATTTCTTTATGTGTATGTTTTTTTTTTTTGTCTGCATGTATGTAAGTGCACCTGTGTCATGTAATGCCCACAGAGGCTAGAAGAGGGCATCAAATCCTCTGGAACTGGAGTTGCAGATGGTTGTTAGCCACCATGTGGATGCTGGGAATTGAACCCAGGTCTTCTGCATGAGCATCCAGTGCTTTTAACTGGTGAGCCATCTCTCTAGCCCTTTATTTATTTGTAGCTGACAGCTGACAGCTGATAAGCTGATAAGCTCTAGCTTATTCCCTCCCAAAAGACCAACTGCATCCAAATGAAGTGAATATAACCTCAGGATTATTGTCTTCACTACAAGATGAACTTAAAACTGGAGCCCTTGGTCTTATGTCGTCGCCTCCCAGTTCACAAAGCTCTCATCTTTATTAGTGTTCTCTTAGATCTGCAGTTGGGCACCACACACTCAAGCTCAGCACAATCTTTGTAGTTTCAGCCTTTTTGAGGAAAATAGGCTTAAGTCTGCCCACTGTAGCCATTGTTTCCTGTCAGAAGGCTGCTTTCCGTGGGCACACAGAGTCCTAGCCCTTCTTGGACTGTGTCACTTTGTGGGATTTGGTGCTTGCCACATTTCTTGCAGAAAGTTCAGCAGGTTTTAGGAATAGTCACCATGTTTAAGGGAGCACTAGCAGCATGGAAAGTGTAAGTTTTTTGAAGTAAATATAGAATAACTTCTTTATTTATGAAGACAGTCTTTTGGTAATCAGTTTAGCCCAACAAATATGCACAAAATTCATGGGATGTTTGGTGGGGGAAGAGAGGGAATGTTTCATAAATACTATGTGGAACTCTGCAAGTCTGAATTACAAATTAGATTCCTTTGGTTCAATATTTGGTATGACTTCTTGGATAAATGAAGTATGTCTTCAGCCAAGTATTAAAGGATAAAGTAAATAATGCCAAGTCCCTGACATGCTATCATCTTCACGTATTTCATTCTGCCATCTGCTGAAAAATCTATGCCTTACAAATTACAGTGTTTCAGGCTGTTTCCCCTCACAATTCCTGTCTCTGGTTTTGGAATAAGAACTCCAGAGCAGCAGCCTTCTGTTTTGAATTGTCTTCCTCTGAAGCCT